TGCATGAATTTCCACAGTACTTCGCGATTCACTCTGTCAAAGACTTTCATCAGGCCCATGGATGTGTAGAGGTGAGTGCGCATCTTTTGGCGCTTCTCTTATAGGTGGCAAGCGGCAAAGGTCATATCGGCGGTGTCCCGGTGACGTCGGAAGCCACACTGGCTTTCCGACAGGAATCCTTGCTCTAGGTGACCGTTAAGACGATCGAGGAAGGTGCGAGCGAAGGTCTTCCCGGCGATGTTGACCAGCGAGATGTCCCTGTGATTGTCACAGAGTTGCCGGTCGTCTTTGAGCTTGTACAGATTGACGATGGTTGCGTCCTTGAAATCGTTTGGAGCTTGTCCGCAGAGCCACATCTCCTGAAATAGCGTCGTGAGTTGGCCAATCAGTCAGTGGCCTGCGTACTTATAGATTTCAACTGCGATCGCATCGGAGTCTGGGGCTTTCCTGCACAAGAGTTGTTGCACGGCGCGGAGGATTTCCTGGAGGAAGGGAGGGCAGGAGATCCAGGTCGACGTTGATTTCCACTTTGAAGAGCCGGTCGATGGCGAGTTCGGCGATTGTGGAGGGACGATCTAGGACACTTCTGAAGTGATCGGCCCAGCACTTCAAAATCGGCGACTTCTCCGTTAGAAGCATTGATCCATCGGAGCTGGGAAGTGGCGCGGTTCCTTTTGCTGGGGGACCGTAGATCGCCTTGATCTCAGCAAAGAAGTTCTTCGTTCCATCGGGGTCGGCATATCCTTGAATCTCCTCAACCTTGCGAACCATCCAAGTGCCCTGCATTTTTTTGCAGCCGGTGCTGTGGAAAGCGGCTATATTGGTAAAAGGCCTCTTCGTTTGCATCGGTTGGACGTTAGGCTCTGTGCAGCCTGTTCTTCTCATAGAGCAGGCTACTGATGGCTGCGTCGCTTTCGTCGAATCAGTTCTGATGTTGACGACGTGCGCGACCGAAGACGCCCAAGGTGGTCGAATGAACAGCGTCCTGCGGTTTGCACCATCGAGTTCCCACGAAGGCGTTTTTAGCTGGAGCTGGCAGGTCTTCCAGCTGCAGGGTCAGTTGATTTCTGAACTGCAAACGCTGTGCAGGCAAAGGCAACAAAACGGCATTCAGCCTACCTGATGGTCGCTTACCTTGTGGCCTCCTGCGGGATTGGAGGCGGGGCCTCATCTTGGAGATGACAAGGCGGTGGCCAGTCCAGCCATCGGCGTCGCAGATCGCCTAGGTTACCATCACGTCCTGCCGATATCACCGCGGAGTGAGAACATAGTCTAGCAGGTACCAGCGCTGCGATCGGGAGTGCATCCAGGTGGCGTTCTTCCGCATCGGCAGGCGGAAGAAGGTACTAGTCAGGATGAGGAGGTGCTCTGCGCAGGTTCGCAGGAGGAGCAGGCCATTGTCATTGGAGGCGCCGAGACTGCGGGGACCCAGCACTCCTATACAGGCAGCATGGTCTATGTTTGCGCGGACGTTGAAGTCACCAAGTACAATCAACTTATCCGCCTTGGGCACAGTCGCCAGGAGGGCGTACAGGTCCCCGCAGAATTTGTTTTTCGCCTCGTCAGAGGTGGGTTTTGGTGGGCGTAGACGCTGATGACGGTGCCGAATTCGTCTCCCCGGAGAGGCAGGCACAAGCTCCATCAGTCGGTCGTTGATGCCTCGCAGCAGACAGGGCAGTTGTCCCACGATGTCGTTCCGGATGGTAAGGGCGACGCCCGCGTCTCAACGCTCTACGCTGGGGCGGCCGTTTCAGAAGAAGGTGTAGCCGGCACCCACCTCCAGTTGGCCCTGTTCGGAGAACCGGGTCTCGTTGAGTGCAGCGATGTCCACCTTGTAGCGTGCCAACTCCCGAGCGACTAGCGTCATCCTCCGTTCTCTTCGGTTGACTCACGGGTTGTCTAAAAAGGTACGAATATTACAGGTTGCCAGAGTGAGCGGACTCACTCTAGTATTCTGTGGAGTGGGGCAGAGGGTAGGAGAAGGAGGAGAGAGATGGATGGTCTTGGTCCCATGTGTAGCGGTCTGAGAACCACGGTCTGCGCGCAGATGTCGTGAATCCAGCTTTGTTTAGGGCACCTTTTATAGCCTCTCACCTTCTGGGGGGGGGGGGGGGGGGAAGTAGTGCTCTCCCTAAGTAGGGCTGCTTTGTCGCACCAGACGGATACCGCTCCCCACTGTGGGTCACGGTGTTTATTGGGAGAACAATCCGAATTAGTCTTGGCCGCCTACGTGACTGCATGTCACCCTCGCCGTAGGACTTTCTACGGTAGGGGCGGAGGGCAGAGTAGAAAGTAGAGAGGGAAAAGAGGGAGGAAGGTGGAAGGAAAAAGTGGGAAACGGTGGAGGAGGGAAAGGAGAAGGGGAGAGTAGAAAAGGGAGGATGAGGGGGGGGAGTAGAATTACCGTATGGTGGGATACACACTCGGATGCCCTCACCTGGTTTAGGCCGCCAGTCGAGGCGGCTACCGGGGTGTGGCCGCTAGGCACAACCTAGCTTCTGGGCGCCACAGGCGAGAGTTGGGTGCCAGCTGATGGACGTTAGGCGTGGTCAACACCTACAGGCAAGTGAGCGACCTACTACTACCTTTACACGAACCCACAACTGGACACCCATACATCCCAGGTGTCTAATCAGCATATCCTATCAAACCTTGCTTCGTCCCTTTTGGTTGTTTGTTTTGATGCCACGTTGCAAGATATATAACGACTTGACGCATACGGACTCCGTTTAACGTCTTAAAAAGACACGTGGAGATAGGATCGAGACATTGTCATTTGAGGAACTCAGAGGGCGAAGCTACTACAGCCGGCCCTCGGTATCCGCGGGGATTTGGGTCCGCAGCTAAAATCTGCGCATATTTAGGACCCCTCCAAAAACGCTTACGGCTGTCTGTTTTAGTGTCTAAACACCAAATATACGTTAAAGCATCATCCTAGACATCCTAATATTGCTTCTAGCGCTTACATTTATATAACTATTCGAAAATTAAAGAATAATTGTTATCTTAAAAATGTATTTAATCACGAGAGTGAATGAAAATAATTGGCGAATACTTTAGATATGCTCCACGAAAAATAGAACTCCGCGAATAGACGGTGATCAACTGTATATGCGCTATGTCTAAGAACATGGCTCCCTCTCTTCCATTCATGAATGGAAGCCCGCAGTTCTGCATATTAGCGGTGAATAAAAAAGATTGCGGAACTTTAGCAAGCTTTCCCGTCAGGACTATGCCACGAAGACCCTCAAGTTTCTTTATAGCCACACCCCACGTGAATCTTGGGCAATTTTACCAATTTTGGCCGACTACACTGTCATCTGCTTTTAATTCCCTTACTTACACCCTAGTGACTTAGGTGTCCAGAAAAGAATGTTGCTGTTTAATTCTTTACTAGTTGGTCTAAAAATTTTTGGAAACCAACAGGCAAGGCGGGCCTTGCCCTTTTCACCTCTTCTTTTTGTCATATGGCATTTTTACTGCAGGTGGCTGCTTTCTGCTCGTACATCTGGTACGGTTGTGAGTTAAAAAGACTGCACCTTTCAAAAAATGGGAGACATTTTTTATTTATTGAAACAACCGTTTCCCAAGTTCTGATGGACGCCTCCATTTGTCGACTTCAGTAATCGTCTCTAGCCACTGCCAAACGAAAGCTTTAAGTCCCACTAGCCACTGCGTCCGATTTCATTTACAATGGGCCTGGCTGGACCTGCCGTTAGCTTGAGAAAGGATGGTGCGTAACAGATCGACCCAGACGGTATTAATCTCTACGAACGATCTGACGCACTTTACAACGCGTTGCTAGTCGGAGCGTGAAATATTGCCAATAAAGGGGACAATTCAACCCTCCGGCAAACTGTGTCGGACTGTAACGACTCCTTGCTGTCCTTGTGTCAAATTCTTCCTCCATAAAGCACGTGTGTGACACGCGTAGACGAGCCCTCGAGCTTTGCCGGCTTTACTGCACACACGCTCAGATCCAGTTGCCCTGACTTTGTCATGCCACTGTAACGCTGTGGGTATGGGGAGAGGACGTAAAGTGAGATGCAGGACACGTGTCCAGTTCTCCCACAAGTCACCACCGCGCACTGAAGTTGCGACGAGCGAACTACCAGGTGCCATTTTTGCGCCGTATTGTGCTTATCGCAGCGATGCGTCCTACGAAGGTATACAGGTTTTCCATAATTTCACAAAAAACAACCTAAACTTTCCTCTTTTTGCCATGCTTTCCGCTTTTGCACATATTTTTAAGATTACTGCCGTCATAAGACTCACCTTACTGTTTTTTTCGCCACAGAAACATGGTGATCTGCGCCAGCTGGAGCCCCCTCGGCCATTGTTTAGTTTCTTGTGAGCGTGGAAGAAGGATAATCGTTTGGTCGCAATTCTAGGCTGCGTGTGCCTACTCCAACTCCCTTGGGTCATCTCATCTGTCTCTCAATGACTCGTGCAAACTCTCGGCTTTGTATTTAACCTAATAGCACTTCCTCTGTGATATATATTTATATGCATGTATCTATCTCCCAAATAGAGATCTGTGCCGTCATTTGTGCCCTTTTCCTCCCGGGCCAAATGTATCTGTTGTCCGCTTCGTTCTTTATTTCTTTCTTCGTTTAGGCTTGACTTCCTTGCTCGCTCAGCACCTGTTGCTGGGCCTCTGAATGTTTGCTAACGAGCAGCCTTTCCGCACGTCTGCCCAAGCCTTATTTTGACCGTATTATTTTACTCAGTCCACTTTTCTACCTCTCTATGTATCTCCTAAGGCTTGTTTTTCACCCTTTCGTATTTGAGCCCCCCCGTGCACTTCCATACATCCAATATTAATTTTGTGCTCACCTTGCCGGGTGTTTCCCCAAGGAGGCGCGTACCCGCGCAGACATGTAAGAGGCCGTTTTCCGGACTCTGCCCCCACGTGGTATGATGCGTCACCAGGATTCTTTGGCATAGCAGTCGGTTAGAAATCGTCCTTAAATGCAATCGCCGCCTATCTTACAGATTAAATGGCCTCCGGGGAACCCAGACAAGAGAAGAAGCGCAAAGAGTCTATCATTGACTTGTCAAAATATCTGGACAAACGAATCCGCGTGAAATTTACGGGTGGTCGCGAGGCTACTGGCATCCTCAAGGGTTGCGATAACTTACAGAACATGGTTTTGGACAACACAACAGAGTACCTCCGCGAACCGGACGATCCTTCGAGACTGTCGGAAGACACCCGAGAACTTGGTCTTGTAGTGTGTCGGTGAGTTATTCAATTGTATGTCGCACCTGGTCCTGTTGCTCTCCGAGTGCGTATAGCGCATGCCTGAGAGGATTTGCTCCAGAATATCATATTATCCCACTATAGGCTGGGAATGTTGCATCCTCGATCAAAACCACCCTCTGGTCAGAGCCAGTGGAGCAATACATCCATGGCAGCTAGCGACTGGAGGTGGAACAGATGGGTCTAACTGCCGGACATCCCTATTTCTGTCCGTACTAGGTTGACCAATTAAGGAATTATTGATAAGGTCGGTACAATGTCTGTTGCAACAAAAGTTCAAAATGACCTGCTCTAGCATTGATAAGGTCGAGGGGTTTTTCGATCTTACTACATATGGCAGGAGAAAGTTCTGTTATAGATGACCCCCACTGGCTTTGGAGGCCGTTTCAAAGCGTTGTGGTACAGAATAGAAGGCCGGGCCTCACCGAACTTCGTACTCGGATTAGCTTTGTTCTCTTTAGTGACATGATAAATGTTATTCGTAACTTAAATCCTATTACTTCCTGCAACCCGTTTATTACCTGTCTGGGTCTTGGAAATAATCTTAAGTTACTACCTTCCTAAACATAATCGCGCTCCTGTAAAGGGCTTTCAACCCTAGAGGAACTTAGACCAAAAATGAAGTTTCCACTGGAACCTAGTTTCACTAATCTGCCGGTCTCCTCCGATGCCACTGAAACTCGACAGATTTCCTCATCTACAGATATTTTGTCTTTATTTTATGTCCTGGTTTAGTTTTCTACCGATCAACTAAGCTATCAACTAGTTTGCAGTGCATCCAAATCAAACATTCTTGGGTGTCTGCTTTTAACGTTCGCTTACAGCCCAGAGTAGGGGTTGGACACGGGAATGTGGATCCCTCGTATTACATGTGGTCTTGCTCTGAATTCCAGAGGGGGTGAGGGTTAGGATTAGTGTTGGAGTTATGGCTAATACCAAGGTTAGTGTTGAGATTGGGTTTATGGGGACTGGTGTTAGGGCTAAAGTTTAAACAAAGGAATCGGAGCCTCCGTATTTAGGGCGAGACCATCGATAGTACTGGGGGTGGGGGCATATTCCCGTTTCCGACCTAAGTAGACTCATCTAGTCCCTCCAGGGAGCAAATTATTTTGTAGCTTGACGGCTTCATCAGTTATCTTCCCCAACGTGTGACGAATAGACGCTCCCTGGACTTGTGCTGGGGAACCCGGAGGAAATTTTAGATGTTTCTATTATACCTCCCGACTTGCCAGTGTGCGTCAAATGTCAGCACCTTTTTTGTAAAAAAAACCCAACTTCCGCACATGGAACAGAGTTTACGTTCGCGTGTCATCTTTCTGTGTGCTATTCTCTTCATTCCACTTCAGCGGACCATCGGTAGAACTAGTTTGTCCCGCCGACGGAATGGAGGCAATCGCGAATCCCTTTGCGCAGGCTGAATAAACAGGCCTGGCTCAACCTCTTCCCGGCAGTGTATTTAACAGAATAAACCTTTTTATAACTGCACATACTCCTGCTAATGACTACCGTCCTAAAGTCGACGCGAGTCGGGCGCGGTTGCACGGTCCGCCTGACTAAATTTGGTTTGGTCTGCAGAAATGACAACTGGACGCCGTTCGAGCCGCGTCTGTGCTTTCCCACGAGATCAGTTGGTCGCCCTCATCGCGTTCTACCTATGCCCCATTTTTTACAGCTTTATACGCGACCACCATGGTTACATTGAGTTGCAGATCAGGGTCCGTCTTTCGCCATGCCTGCTTTGCGTTCGCCGCGTCAGTGTATTGCGGTTGACGATAGGGTTCTACCAGGACTAGCAAACTGCTCAATCTGTCGGGTAAGCAGTGGCGGACCCTCAGTTGCAGTACTCCCGAGACGCGGTGTTAAGGCAGGACACAATGATTGCCTTAGAGAATGACGTGACGACCCCATGCCACTGTTTCGAAGTTGAACATGAAGAGAACAAGCTCTTGTCGGCCGTCCGGACATCCACGCACCGGGAACCGTTGTATTCAGTTGCTGCCGCTTATACCTCACAGCTTGATTTGACAGTATGCAAAAGGTGAACTTGTGACGATTTACGGACAATAGTCTGGCATGTCAGCGTAGGAGACGAAGCATAAGACGTATGCCAGGGTCGCTTACACTATGCCATTGGGACATTTTGTCGAAAACAGCCCCAAACTGAGCATGTTCTCGAAAGCATGTCTTCACCAGGAAAGGACTTCCTGCGCGATACTTAGGCCGTGGAACAGCAAGGCGCCCGGGGAGGGCTATAAAGTGCCCCCGGTTGGGGAGATGTGTACTTTCCACTCCCGAAGACGGAGCGCAGTGGCCCCATGAACAGTTTCGGTATATTTACTCTTAAGTATGTGTCCAAACAACCTATAAACAAAAATAACTCATCGCCCTCTAGGTTTTGTTACCTATCTCCTAACCCTCTATCTGAACTTGGCGTCAAAATTTGAACCATTCGGCTACTTATGTTTGATTATTCAGCCAGCTTTATGATCAAGCGTGGCACATTTCAAAAGACAGACATCCCACAAGTCTGTTGCGTACCATCCCATAACCGCCTATACACAGCGCATAACGGGGTGGTATCACAGTGTTTTCTAGGCTCGAGGAGGCAACCTTTTGGAATTTCAGCCCGGCCCGTAAGAACTCGTACCTTCCACAATTGGTTATGTGCTTTCGCAAGCAAAAATAGTCCACCAAATTAAAGTAACTCAGATTATGGACAGAGGGAGGAGGGGAGAGAAGGGTAATCGCCTCAGCAGTCATCCCAGTATTCATCTTGCAACAAAAGGAGTGAGGAGTTTGAACAGGATTTAGGGAGAGTGGAGCCAGAAGAGGGCAGAAGGTCAGATGACTCGGTTTCGGTGTAGACACCCTCGGAAAGAGCTGAAGAGCACTGGTCGCTCGAGATGGAATCCGGATCGAGACCAAAAACAGGCCGCTTTTTGCCTGAAGGTAGTATCTTTTTTGAATTTTTATCCGCTGTTTTTGAGCGCAGATCAGCTTCCCAATCCTCTTCCACTAACCGGTAAATCGCCATTGTCGCCTGAGCGTCTTCAATGGAACAGTGTTCACCGGTTTGAATTTGTAAGCCTAAAAATAATGGGAGTCGTGAGAAATGGCATTTGACGTCTCGACGCTTATATAAAGACCACGGTGTTGTTGACGAAAAGAGGTCAAAATTAGACTGAAAATAGGTTATTCGTGGTTGATTAGATGCTGTCCCGAATACTCCGACACCGAAAATCTCGATGAAAGTCCAATATAAATGGTTCTAAATCATATCGGACCTTATGTATCTAACGGAATGCAATAAACGTCAGTTGCGGACGGCCAACGGGAGGAGGGAACCAGAAATGGTCCACCATGTCGTAAAACTAATCAAACAGGATATCATGTGATTTATTAGGAACGGTTGGCAGGATTCCCACATTCCCAAGCTTTTCCAAACAAGTTCCTCTTCATATGTGTACGTCAGTTCCTTAAATCTCTAGGAGACTCACTTGATTATTTATGTAACGTTATTGGCGGCTTAAGTTATGATGCATTTGTGCCTGCGACGGGCAGTGGAGCAATCCCAATCGACGAACAGGGAGGGCACACACAGAAGTTGTGACCCTAATCATCTGTACGGTCGCTCAGTGGAGACGCATGTGGGACGGGAAACATGAAACCACAAGAGGCATTGGAGGCCCGTCTTCAAGTAAGGGATACCTTCTTGGTCCATAGATCTTGCCTCTGGAGGGATTTTGATAGAAATGTCGTATACTGTAAATTATTTTCTGCTGATCTCACGCAAATCCAAAAGAGCTTGACGATCAAAAGAAGTCCCGTCTTTACCTTGACGGTTGGAATTCTTTGGAACAAAGTGGCAGTTTTATACTAGCCAAAGAGCTCCAGCGACTACCGAGACCAGACAGACTGGGAGACCTGAGACGTTCATTTTTATTTACGGGTTTACTTTTAGGCATACCTAGGTCATCTACACCTATCTGAGTCAGCGAACGCTGCACTCTTAAAATGTGGCTCGACAGCACCACAAGCTAACTGACGTAGTCAAGAACTCAAATCCATATACCGGCTATTTCAACTCTGGAGCGGCCTAGCAGAGCATTTTAGAGTTCGTGTGAAAACACAGCCCAAAGGACTCTGAAGACTAAGTAAGATAGGGCATTTTTTTAGAATTCAAACGAACTTTTTTCTTGTACTGTGACAATGGCCTTGAATCAAACGTAACAATTCCAATGGCAGGGCATTAAACGGCATGATCAACCACCGGGAACAATTTCTAAACTGGATTATCTACCAAAAGGCACATGAGGAATGCCGAGGGAACCACTGATAAGCCGAACCCTCGCAGCTGTGCCATGCAGCGGCAGAACATCGGCAAAACACGCTTGTATGGGCTTGTAGCTGTACCTTTGCTGTTATTATGATATCCTACAACCCAATATACACTATTGGCTGCCTTTCGGTAGTTAATGAATAATACACGGTTATCCGGCTGCGGCTGGTGGACATCGGCTGAAGCATTTATACATTAAATGTCGGTCTACGCCTATAGACCTTAGTTCAAACTGATCTATTCAAAGTTAGCAGTTAATTTGCAAGGAAATTGAAAAGTAGCTCTGAAGAAAGTCTGATAGGGACAGAACCAAGGAGGCAGGAAGAGTAGTTGCTGTATCTGAATTCGGTGAAGTAGACGTCCTGCACGACACATCCCCTGTACCGGACGCGTCGCGTTTAAGACGGAGGCGGTAGAGGGCAATTACAAAGTCTAGTGACAACGGTAGGGTGCAGGTTGCCACGATAGTTTTTGCAGAGTGATCTGTCGTATTGGAGGCGCTGCTTTAGGCTATAGGGACCGTCATGGTCTCCCTTATTTGGATCTGAGGAGTGTAGCCAGACAACTACTTTTATGGACCAGGGCGTGTGTATGCTCGTTCGTCTGTTTTACGTTCGCGGCGAGGATCCCCTCAGCTGATGGTCGGCAGGTAAGAAAGCCGAGGCTTGGAAATGATCAGATGCCATCACTGACAGTGCTAATAGCAACACAGAGCTGCTGTCCCTGTTCGTTTATTCAGACACATTATGGGGCTGAAGTCTTTCAAATCCATGCAGTCTCCAAGTGTCACTATTAGCTGAAGCACTTTCCAGATTTCAGAGTTCATTTTTCCAAATTCACTGCGATTGTGCCGTTCAGGGCACTTGATTCGACTGTGCAAGTCTGCACTGCAATCTCAATTATGCCGATGGGCCGGTGCATTACTAGCCAGCCATATTAGTACATCAGAGTTTCAATAATTACAACGCCTACTGGGACTTAGCATTTTCCGAGGGGTACTTTGGGGCGTGTTCCACTTGGAGTCAGTTCTTTTAGACTGTGTTCTTCATATCGCAAACACAGTATCGACAGTTTGACAACCTCAAAAGACGAGTCCTACCACTGTCCTGCGGGAATTGCATTGATTACGTTAAAGTCATCATCCTCACTCTGATTCCACAACTAACGCGCCACAATGGCCACAAGACGACCGGAAATGGGAGCGAACAGTGGCTAATGAACCTAAATTCACAGCTATGCGTAGTACGTACGGCCTGATCCCTAACTTAACACGTATCAGGCCTTGGTGAGGTCAAGAGCCTCAGATAAAAAGTCTTGATGTGACTTTTTGTCACATCAAGAGTGAGCCATCAGGCCTGGTTCCCGCTCCAGAGACGGACCAAATTATCCCACCAGCTGAAAGCCTTCCGGGACATAAATTTAGTTCATTGTGATAGGCTTCAGAGTTTCCGATTTGTTGTGGCATATTGCCATGAGGGGGGGTGCCTGAGTATCGGTCTCTAATTGTCTTACCTCTCCTATGAATCGGCGGCCTGTCCGAACCTCCTGGTGGCTGAGGTATCCTGAGCCTCCATGTATTTTGTGCTTGATACATGCATAGCAGTAGTTAAGTATCACACGCAAACTCAGCGCAGCCCGACTAAAGCATGCCACGGGTCAGTATGGCCCCCATTTTGGGCTAATGCATCAGCAGTGCGGTTTGACCGTGACCAGATTCATCGCAGAAGTTGCTGCTTGAGTGATGAATGAGGATTTCACTGTTATGAGCACTAAATGTGATAGTTTGGGGCGCCTCGATTGTTTGTAATGGGGAAATAAGGCTCGAGACCCAGGGCGGATTGACTTCACCCCTCCTCTCCGCTCTCACGTCAGCTGCAAATCCGAGTCTTTTCGTGTAGTGAACGGGATAGGACAGTCCGGAGTGGCGTGAAAGCCACGGACCACGCGTGCGACAGTCAGTCCTCTTTCCTTAAACCACATAAATCAAACTCAACCGAACAGTAGGTTGGAGGGGCGTCTTCAGCTATGGCAGTCATGTTTCGTCGTGTGGAGTGGGTCGGTTATGTTGACACCACGGTGGTTC